ATAGTATAGTATAGTATAGTATAGTATAGTATAGTATAGTATAGTATGTGACAGAAAGAACTATGGGACAGATATGGAGAGTGACAGAGGACACAGAAGACTTGGGTCACCTGACAAGACAATAAAGAAGCTACCATAGGAGGGAGAACATAAACAATGTCCCTGAACAATGACAGGAGATCCTCAGAGGTCCAGCTACCAGTGAGAGAAGTAGACCTCCAGGCCACCAATTTGAGCAAGTTCTGGCTGAGATCCATGAAACAGGGCTGCAACTGTGATGGTCAGCATGAAAACAGTACCCACACAACCAGCCCCCAAGCCTGGAGTCAACCAGCCTCGGGCACCCACCTGTGACCATGAGCGTGGCGCTTGTGGTCTGAGAGCCACAGGTGCAACTGTACTCGCCCGCATCCTCACGGCGCACGTCCCTAAGCAGCAGCTCTGCGACACACCCCTGCTGCCGTGCCTCTCGGCGTGTGTCAGCCTGCAGCTCCAGGCCGCCCTTGCTCCAGACCACAGCCGTGTTGGGGACTGACAGCTCACACCGCAGGCTAGCCATGGAGCCTTCTTCTGCTTGCAGATTCTGCAGAAGCTTCTGGAATACCACCTGTGGAGCTGTGAGAAGATGAGAGGCTAGGAGACTCGACTCAGCCCTGCCTCTGAGTAACCTAAGGTACCAGAGAGGGTGAGGCCGAGCTTCTCTACATTCCCAAGGCAGCCCTAGGCTTGATGCAGGATGGGGACATGGGTCTGGGTGGGCTTCAGAGTAAGGGAGTTGGTGAGGAGGTTGGAAAGTACTCAAGATCTGACCCTGGGTGCTTGCTTCTCACTTAGACAATCCAGTCCCCTGAAGGGCTATAAATAAAGGACCCAGAGAGACACTCATATCAGACCATCCAGAATAGAATCAAGTCTAGTCATGTCCCTACAGACCAGAACCCAGTAAAGGGCTTTGTTCTCCAAGATCATAGCCTTAGACCAGATCTTGGAGCATAGCCTTGCCCTTCCCAGGCTGCTGGTATGTTCTTGTCCCTCTGCTACTAGGGCATGGTGTGTCCCATAGACTCCAGGAGATAGCCAGACCTTGTGAGATCAGTTAGGGTTCTGTCCTCCACATTCTGGAGCAGCCACTGGCTACACAAGGAACATGTCCCCACATTGAAGAGTATGGGACCCACTGGGGGACCCACCTGTCCTCTCTGGATATCCAACTTACCCCCGAGCAAAGGAGAATATTTGGCTAAACATGATACATAGAAACTGGAATATGGATGGCAAAGGGTAGAACATCTGAGAACATGGTAGGGGAGGGGAGGCTCTGTCCCAGCATGGTGACTGGTGGTGTAAGGATGTAAGAGTTGAGGTACAGACACCAAGACCCTGGAGAGTGCTGTGGCTGAGACCAGTCGTGAATGAGGCAATCCTGGGGAGAGCTGAAGGAGGACAAGGCAGATATAGAGCAAAAACAGAAGTCCAAGAACATCCTGTGACCACAGGAGCCATTTACCCATAATGCTCAGTGTGGCTGAGGTCCTCTCCTGCCCACATGTACATGAGTACTCTCCAGTATCTTCCACGGTCAGGTCACGGATCTCCATCTCACACACGGCCCCATCCTGCCGCAGGGTGAGTCTGGTCCCGTTTCTCAGGGTCTCAGCCCCTTTCCTCCACACCACAGGGGCTTTCTTGCTTAACTCACACCGCAATGTGACTGTTGAACTTTCTGGGGCTTCTTGGCTTCTCAAGACTTCTATGAATCTGGCTGGTAGGGCTGAGAAGGACCAAGGAGTCACTGAGAATGGGACACTAGAGGACCTTGTACACAGTCACAAAGAACTAGAACCACAGAAAACAGGTAAAGGAAGGTATAGAGGGTGGATGGAAGGAAACAGTGCATGAGGAACAGAAAGGCAGTGGGATGGATTTGAACATGAAAATATGTCTTCAGAAAGTGGAATGATTTCAGACACAGGCCAGATGGACACTAGGTCACCACAGTAGCTATGTCACATATGAAGACAGATATAGCAATGAGACAACATGGAGACACTAAGCCTCAGGTTCAGGTGGCCACACATGATCTTTACCCTTGACACTCAGTGTGGCTGAAGTCCTTTCCTGCCCACACACGCATGAGAACTCCCCAGCATCTTCCACAGCTAGATCACGGATATGTAGCTCACACATGGCCCCATCCTGCCTCAGGCTGAATCTGCCACCATCACTGAGGGTCTCTGACCCCTTCCTCCACTCCACACTGGCTGCCTTGTTCATCTGGCACCTCAGAGTCACCATGGTGCCTTCTGTAGCCTCTTGGCTTCTCAAGTCTTCTACGAATTTGGGGGGTAGGGCTGAAAGGACCAAGCAGACCCTGAGAACATTGGACTCTTTGAAGGACACACTGCACAGAACACAGAATACACAAGGAGACACGTATTCTGATGAAGGTTTTGAGTCAGGAACAATGAACTAGGGAACAGATGAAAAGGAAGCAAGACCCCAGGGGTTGAGGTGGACATGAACATGAGAACATTCTGGACAATTGGAAGTAGTGATGGAGATCTTCAAATGACTCTAGTTACAGAACAGATGGCCACTGGGTCACTACAGGAGCTATGTCACATATGGAGAACAAGCATAGC